ACACTCCCTTCTGGGAAGGTGCCCGCAACCAAGGTACATGCCCCTTGACCAGAATCAAACCTGGGACCCTTCAGTCCACAGGCTGATGCTCTATCCACTGAGCCAAACTGGTTTAGGGCAACACTTGATATTATTAAATTTTCACAGAATTAGCACTCTAATGAAAGAGAAGCATTTCCATTTCAATGATTATTAGCAAGATTGAACATTCCCTTATTCATTTATTGGTCACTAGCTTTTTTTTCCTCCTGTGACTTTTCTATTCATGCCATTTTCCTATTTTTAATTTTTTTTGGCCTATCTCTCTTGGGAATGAAACAGAGGCCTTCTACCAAACCTGACTAGCTCAGAGGAGGCCTGTGTAGTGGGACTTAAAAACTCAGAAACCAAAAGGAACCACATAAAATGGTCTGAACATGAAAATTCCTAGCTAAAGGCCAGATATGGTGGGTAGTCATGTCCTAAGCCTGGAGCTTCCTTGACAAAGGTCAATCTTTACCTAAGTGAGCCTATCAGGTGTCTTTTTGCGTCTAAGACAACATACCTCTGAAATGTCAGAGTAATGTTCTTTTCCAGACCTGCACTAGAGCACAAGACCACAGAATCACTCATTTTTATCTCAGTCCACGCATACCGTCTCTATGTGCTGTAAAGGTCAATCATTAACTAATACTGTATCCACCAATGTAAAAGAAGTTCGTGTTTCTCCATTTTGCTTTTTATCCAATCCCAGAGATTTCCACGCTTTGCTTTCTCCCGCCTACCTAATCTACCACCAATGGATTTCATATAACACTTCTTACGTCTTCTCCTTTTATTTTAGTGTATAAAATAAGCTGCAAAACTCCCATTCTCCAGAGCATTTTCTCAATTCGTTGAGATTTTGCTTCCTGGCAATTGTTGTCAGTTTGGCTCGAAGAAACTCTTAAAAACTCTCTACAGGTAAGTGGATACATTTCTTAGTTTCTTATGTTGACAGTCTTATAGATTTGTGATAGTTCTTTCAATATTCTAGAAATTTATTATATTTCACTTACATGTGTTGCAAATTCTCCTAATCTGTAGCTTATATTTTACTTTTAGTGGTTTTTTACATTTTTAATTTAAATTAAATTTATCATTTTTTTCTTCTATGCTTTGAGCTTTTGCATCTTAAGAAATGCTACACTAATCCTTCAAAATATTAAAAAATATTTGTTTTCACTGTATCAAATTCAAATCCAGTCTCACTGAAAGAATAAAATGTATTTGTAGAAAGTGTATAAAACTTTGGTTTTAATGTGTTGAATCTATTTTTTAATTTAATTTTAATTTTTAAACATTTATTTTAGAGAGAGAGAAACAGATTTATTAGGCTTCTAACTACTGCTCACATAGCTTTTTGTAGGTATATATAGGGGGTTTGTGATCAACTCTATTCTGTCCTCATTTCTTAATTTAACAGAAAAGGAAAGCTATAGGAAAAAGTTTTTAAAAAATATATATATTTTATTGATTTTACACAGAGTGGAATTGAGAGGGACAGAGAGTTAGAAACGTCAATGAGAGAGAAACATTGACCAGCTGCCTCTTGCACCCCCCCCACTGGGGATGTGCCCGCAACCAAGGCACATGCCCTTGACTGGAATCGAACCCGGGACCTTTCAGTCCGCAGGCCGACGCTCTATCCACTGAGCCAAACCGGTCCCGGCAGGAAAAAGTTTTTGAAGAGTAAAGGATTGGTTGTTAAAATAATTTTAAAGAATTTCTATGCAAATAAAATTCATTCAGGATTAAATTTAAATTTGTTTCATATGGTTAAATTAAGAACTAATGCCTGGATATTACACTAAAACATTTCCATGCACATGAGAGTGCTACATATTGTATTAAGATGGCAAGTTATTAATATAGCATTTATATTTCAGGTTAAAGAAGAAATGAGGGAGAACTGATTGAAATAGATGAAAAGAATGGCATAGTTACATGGGCACACTCACTTTGTGAAAATTTATTAGATTGAACACTTTCATCAAATTTTATATTTATTCACTTTTGTATGCATTTTCTACTTCAATAAAAAGGTTTTTTTTTTTTTTTTTTTTTTTTTAAAGACCAGGGCCCTAGCTGGTTTGGTTCAGTGGATAGAGCATGAGCCTGCAGACCAAAGAGTTTGATTATGGTCAAGGGCAGGTGCCTTGGTTGCAGGCTTCTCCCCAGCTCTGACCCTGGTCAGGGCTCACACAGGAGGCAACCAATAGATGTGTTTTTCTCACATCAATGTTTCTCCCTGTCTTTCCCTCTCTCTTCCATGCTCGCTAAAAATCAGTGGAAAAATATCCTCGGGTGAGGATTAACAACATCAAAATTGTAAAAAGACACAAAAGATCAACCTAATGCAATATATGGATCCTGATTCCAATAAAAGGAAGTTTTTTTAAAGCATTTTTTTGCAATTGAGAAAATCTGATAGCTGATAAAATTAAGGGATTATTTTTCTAAGAGTAATAGTGATGTAGTGATGGTTATTTTTTTTTTAAGTCCTTTTATTTTACTTGAATGTGTGCCACAAACCTGGTTTGTTAAACCTGGATGGTGGATACACGGAGTTTTGTACTTTGTATGTGTTGGAATTCTCTGTAATGCAATTAAAATGCAAACACACACCTACACACACACACGGATCCATTTCTCTCCTTAATAATTTTTCACCCTTACTAATACTGTTTTTTAAATTTGGAGGAGAAAAGGAATCTTTTGGGAAATGTTCATTACTCTGTTTAGACACAGGATGGCACTCTTTGAATAAGTAATTAGTCAAAGTCCACTTCTCACTGGATAAGCTCCTTTCCTTTACAATATTGCCACTTCCTAGGGCAGTTTGTCTCAGTTGAGAGTAAAAAAATTTCAAGTAGCTTATAGAAATGATTACTACGCACACCTTAAGTTTAGTTTTCTGTGATGGCTGTGCTTATCCACCACCAGTTTTTGAAAAATTAAGGACAAAGCCCACAACAACTCAAAGGATGGGTTTGACGCAAAAACAGCTCTGTGTCCACTCTTCTCATTTTTTGACGTTTACAATTATTGCTAGGAGATCAGCCACCTCTTGTGTGCTAATGCAAATATTTGCATTTCTATACGAACCATCTTTATTTAAGACTGTGAGTGCCGAATAAATGCCAAATTTCTGCGTTTTAAATGGCATTGAGCCAACTACTACTGATTTAAGGTCACGATGAGGACTATTAACTGTGGACAGATGCTTTCCCCTTTCAACCCTCAGAAAAGAATTCTTGGACGATCTCGGTCTGATTCATGCCTCCTTTTAGCCAACTATTCATGTATTCACCAGAAGAATTACACCTACTACCTCCGGTGTAGGAAGAAGAAGAAGAAAAAAAAAAAAAATCCAATGAGCAATAATGTTAGCAGAAGCTTGAAACTGAAGCGCCTGTTTTCAGAAAGGTCCTCCCTCCCCACCCCCTTCCCTCAGGTCCAATTCCCTTTTCTGGTTCTGGCCATCGGAAATTGACTTGGCGTTAACTACCGGCTGGAATTTCAAGGCGTCAATTCCTCCACCACCCCCAACCCCAACCTTGGAAACTCTTAAACCTCTTCCTCTCCTGCACTCAACGGGCAGGAACAGATAAATGATGCAGCAGATTCCACCGCTGAAAGACAGCATTTGTCCTGAGCTATTTTCACTTTTTTTTTTTCCAACCCCCCCCCCCCCCCCCTCCCGTTTCCGATTGGGGTGCCAGACTTTGTTTGCTTGCTTGGGACATGGAAAACCTATTTGGGCATTTCCCCCACAGTGTGATGCCAGTGGCTTTTCTCCCAGCAAATGAAAGTGAAAGTGCTACGTTTGTAGCCGTGTTTTATCCTTAAAGTAAGGACTGGCTTCTGGGGTGGAGGGGGCGGGGGGCGGGATGGTGGTGGGACTGGGAAGCTTGAAGAACCAGTTTTGAGGTTTTGTTTGTTTATCTTTAGATCACAGCAGGGTTCCTGTCCTCTCTTCTACCCCCCCCCCCCCACCTCCCTCTTTTCTGGGGGTCTGACTGTGGATTTATTTTCTTTGGGGCAGTCATTGAGGTTTCATTCAATGTCCTGAATTACTAAAAAAAGACAAACAAACAAACAAACAAAAAAAAACCCAAAACAAAACACTCCACTTGTAGCTTTCCCCGGTTGCACTTGAAAACACCATCCAGTCTCTCACCCTCATCTGGAAATAATGCAAGCTTCTTTCTCTTCCCCCGCTCCCTCCTCCCCCACTTTTTTTCTTTTTCTTTCTTTCTTTTTTTTTTTTTTTTTTTTTTTTTTTTTTTTTTTTTTTTTTTTTTTTTTTTTTTTTTTTTTCCTTTTAAAGCCCCACATAACCTGAAGTTGGTAATCGGATAGAAAATGGGCTGGTCTGAGTTTACTTTAGTCTACACTCCCTTGCAGTGGCACCATTACCCGTTAGAGATGTATTTTTTTGAGAGAGGCGTTTTGTGCACATGTGGTTACACTGAGTCTTGAAATCTGTCACTTGGTGTAAAGTTGCTGTGCGTTTCCTCCAAGGTGGTGTTTATGTGCACTTTTTAAAAAATTTTTATTTATTTATTTATTTTTTTTAGTATTTTTTTGTTGCGAGGACTTAAAACTACAAGGCAAAGGACCCCGGAGATCTTAGCAAGTGACATGAGTGCATCTAAAGTCATTCATCCTCTCCCTCCCCCTTTCAAGAAACAATCACACCCCAGGCTAGGATTTCTAAAAGGGGTTCGAGGAGGAGGAGGAGGCACAAGAGGCGGAGTGGGGCAGGGGACGGAGGTTAGAGGGGCCAGGATCTCTCCCATTCACGGGGCGGAAAAGTTGACATTGTCTGAGCCCTCCTGAATGGCTGGTCGTCGGTTACCCCGATTGTACCCCCGCCTCCCCTCCCCCCCCACGTGACGGCCCAGGACACATGCGCACCCGCCGCCGGCACATCTGCACACTGACGTCAGCGCTCGGCCTCCGAGCAGAGGCTGCCAATATTCTGCTGCAATTCTAAGTTGGCCGGGGGCCGGCCGTGAGACCTACTTCAGCAAACTCTGCTCCTCTTGTCTTCTTTTCTCCTGATACCTTTTGATGCTCTTCACATGTTATTTGCATAGCAAAGGCCCTCAGCTGTCCAGGAAGAAAGGGCACCCTCTCCACCCCCAATAAGCCTTTTTTTCTCCCTTCCTTTCTTTTTTCCCTTTCCTTTCTTTTTTTTTTTTTTTCTTTCCCCCTTTCTTTCTCTCTCTCTCTCTCTCTTTTTTTTTTGGCCGGGTGGGGGGCGCGTGCAGGAGAAAAAGGGGGTCTGCAAATGCAGCAGCATCTCAGGATGATAACCTGGTTGTATGGGAGGCATCTCTTTTTTTCCTGCCAAATCGGAAAGCCCGTTCTCTGAAACCCGGGTTAGCCAGACGATAGGGTTTTATTCTGGCTGCAGAATAACTGACTGACTGCTGTGGCTTTGCAAAGGGGGGCAGGAGAGAGAGAGAGAGAGAGAAAAAAAAAAAGCTAGGAGAGGAGAAGGGAGTACGTGAGTCGTCCAGTGCAATCTCTATTGTTTGAAACTTACTTTTTATCAGAATTTGAAGATGAAAACGGTAAGGAAGACTTCACATATTCAATGAAACCGTTTTTTTTTTTTTAATTAAAGCGTGTTGCTTTGCTTGTCTTCCGAATAACGTGTAGAAAACCCTTTTCTCTCTCTCTCTCTCTCTCTCTCTCTCTCTCTCTCTCTCTCTCTCTCTCTCTCTCTCTCTCTCTCTCTCTCTCTCTCTCTGTGTGTGTGTGTGTATGGCAAGGAGTGAGCTTGACTGAATTCATTTTACAGATAGAAATCTTTTTTTAACTCCAGACTACTCGGGGGGGGGGGGTTGTTGGAGAATTCTGGGTCTTGCAAGTATTTTTATGATGCAAAAATATATACGTTTATTATAAGAATAGAATATGTTTTGTGAAATATGGCTTAATTATGATGATTGTGGTCTTTTAACTCATCACCAAAGAGCAATCAGGAAAGTAATCACGGTGTGTATTGGAGCTGGTTTCCAGTTTTCTTAAAGAAAAAACCTGCATTTTATGGTTTCATGTCACTGTCTTAAGTAGCCAGACAAGTGCATAGTTTATGCCTGGGCTCAGAGGGCAGAATTAATGTGCTCCCTGGAGCCCCGATGCTCTAGGATATGCTAAGCTCTTAATAGGCTAATCAAAGAGATGGAAGCGTGTGTTTTTGATTTACTTTTGGCCACTTGGGACGTGCTAGACTCATATCCCTCCGGAGCCTTGAATATCGGGGTATGTCTGTTTATATGGTACATGGGATCAAAGTTTAGGGATTTGGGGGAGGGGGGGTGGTGAGTGCTGGAGGGGTTATTGGAAAGCTGCCTTCTGATAATGTGTACTGTAATTCCTGTCTTTGGTAATTTCTTTCCTTGTTGTACTAGAAGAAAAGAGAGCGAGAGAGTGAGAAAGCGCACTGAGAGGGAACAAGAGAGTGAGTTTCTTACTCTTGTTTTTATTTGAGCTGCCGGTGCAACGCGTTTGGGCCAAATGCCAACTGTCTGGGTCACACGCGTTTTATCCAAATAGATTTAGCGCTGCTGTCTGGAAATGGGCTGCTGAATGTTAACTTTAGGATCAACTCAACCAGGGCAGCTCAGACTGTTACCCTCTGTCTGGGCGAAGTGGGGTTGGGGGAAGGGGCATGCGGGTGTGCAGAACTGGGCAAGGGCAGGGGGGGGGCGGGGGGGCGGGGGGGGGGGGGGGGGGAGGGAAGGGGGGAGGGGAAGGAGAAACTGAACCATTGCTTGGAACTTTTAAAAAGACACTGGAGTGTGATTTTCAGCATATTCCTTGATGTTTAAATATCTTGGACCAATTTTCTTTCTTTTGTTTTTCTTTCTCTTTTTAGCTTATTGTTGATTAGACTCAAAACTTAGATGTGGGAATGACAGTTCTCCAAATTCATTGCAGGGAAGGAGATGCAAAACAAAACTGGTGTGGTTGAAGGAAATTAAGAGAATTAATTTTGGAGATAATTGTTTTCCTGTGTCTCACCAAAGTGGTAACAGCAATTCTGGTTTATATTAATTTAGTGCTTAAATGTGATCATTGGTGTTTTAGATTTTTGAAGAACAGTGTATAGAAGTAGATAGTTGATTTCAAACTCATTCATTTGCCACAAATGGCAGCCAATGAAATCTATGTTTTGATATTAATATTTTTATGATTCTCAAGGGGGAAAATCTCTAACCTCAAAACCTGAAATATTTTAATACTTTCCCTGTCTGGACCAGTAAGTGTGAGATTAATTCCTACTCTTGTCTACTCTTACCACTTCCTCTTTATTTCCTTAGCAACCACTAGTAGCTCCTAGCGGTTTAGGATGGGTATGTATGCCAAATCTTATCCTATGTGTGACTCTTGTGGGTGAATAAAGGGAGTTAACATGTTAGGAAAGTAAATGGCACATTCCATGGGGCATTTTTTGGGGGAAGAGGAAAACAGGCAAGAGGTTGATCGCTCTCTTGGTTATACCAAAGGACATGGTTTGTTATCAACACTTTGAGTTAACCTCAAGAGACAAAGGTGTTTGTTTTCAGGAGAGAAGTTATAACAGATCATGTATATCCAACTTGGCATTTGGGGAAGAAAAAAAAAAGGAATTTGGGACATTACCTAATTTAGGGCCCGTTTTTTGTAGACTGCTGTTTTGTATTTTTGCTTTTAGCTCATTTGCTTTTCTAGATAGATACATCTTGATTCTACCTTTCCTTGGAAATCAATCTTGCAAAGTTTATAAATGACCTGGAAACTTTTGTTCTTATAGGCTAGTGTTGTCCTTGGCATATAGTATATGATAGTAAATATTTGTTGGGAGAATAAATGGAAAATGAAGTGAGAGGTTAATTTTCACATACAAAAACTGAACACCTGAAGGGAGCACAGTATTGCTTCTTCCTCTGTGAAGACCAGGTCAGCCTTAAAATAAATTGTCAGGGTTAAGATGGATGAAAGAAGCTGAGAAGGATGTCATGCATGTTCTTTTAGCTCCATAATAACAGTTCAGGAGAGGAAATTATTACCTTGGCTACTCCAGATCACTTGAGTGGGAAATAAAGATGACAGAGCAAAAAGACAAGTAAGTACCCTCCAACCAGGGCAGACTACTGAGGCAATTACCATAGTGCACGCTGTCTGCTCTTATTTCTGTTTGGCTAGAGTAGCTTTGATCCATGAATGCAGGTAAATGATCCCTTAACTTCACTGGCTGGTGTATTTGTATTAGGAAAAAAGCATTTATGAAATATAAGTAAAATGAAAAGTTTTGAGTCTTGGTTTCAAATTTAGAGTATTGTAAGCCTGGTTTCATGACCTAAATTCTTTACTGTTCAAAAGACAATACAATGCAGTTGATTGATTCCGTCACCATTTCCAACTATTCCACATTTTTGAGGGAAGGAGGAACATAAAACTAGTTTTGAAGGAAGGCCTTTGAAAAGTGATGAGTCAGATAACCAGGAGAAGAGGTGGGGGGTGGGCACTAATATTTGTTTAGCCATTAAAGTGAAGTGCTCAGACACTTCACATCATATGTAATCGAATTTAATCTCTCAACGAGTCTTTGTTAGGTAGATATCATTATCACAGTTTTATAGATGAGGTAACAGATCCAGAGAGTTTAAATAACTTGGAGTCAAGCCAGGACTCAAAGCCTTTGGGCTTTTCCATGATAGTACTTCTGCTATACAATGTAGAGTTAATGCATTATGATTTCTGGACAATTATGTAATGTTTTAATATTAGTCTGAATTTTGGAAACTGTTAATGCCTCTACATAGTTGACAGAGGCCTAATATCCATAGTTTAGGTCCTTGATTAGTTTTATCCCGAGAATAGCAGGGAGCCTTTGAGGGTTATTGAGCAAGAAAAGGTCACTGTCACTTTGGTGCCTAGTATTAGGGAAGGAAGGATTGCTCAATCCCTAGCCCCTCCCTTGAGGTTCCTGCCTCCCATGTAGTTTTCATAATTCTTAAGCTGTCAGGCATGGGGGGCTAGGGGTGTCCAGAAATTGAAATGGTTCCTGCTACCCTGTCTCCATCCCTCAGGCCCCAGGCTGAATGCAGTTGACCTTGATGAAGCCATCCTCATCCTCATTTTCACTCATCTCTGGACAGATCCCCTTCTTGTCTCAGGCAGAGGCAAGTGTTGGTAGCTGGTGCAGTATTTTCGGCAGAGATGGCATTTGGCAGCAAGTGCAATGAGGAGAGAAAGGACCATACCTACCAGCACAACCCCTATCAGCACCGGCCATGCCAGGCCTGGTGCATGATCCAGGGGGTCGTGGCTGATGCTATTGGGGAGTTCTGAGAGCCCCACAGTTGTTTAGCTTGTCTCACTCATGGAGTGGCTGGAAGACACATGTGATCCTTATCCTTGGCCAAAAGAGCCCTGTCTCCAAGGAGATCCCCAGGTACCAGGGCACAGAATTCTGTTGGAGGACCAGCTTGGGCTAGAGATTATCTGCAAGTAAAGTACCTGAATCAGAGGAGTACCTGCCTGGGAGGAGTATCCAGGCTAAGAAAGCACCCTGATTTGTAGCTTCTTTCCTGCTCCCAGGGCTTTGTTGATTTCCTCTCCCATCCCCCCATTCCTAACCTATTCATGTTTATTGTGAGTTGACTGAATATGGTAAGATGTGTTTGTTGGTTTATATGAATTGAGCTTGAGCCAACTCATTTACTTACTTTTAATTTTCTTCACTGGCACTAGAGACTTGGGAAAAAAATGGGGAGCGAGGGCTGGAGTGAATAAAGGAGAGAGAAAACCAAATTTATTGAGTGCCCGTGTGCCAGATAGCTAGTGGAACCAAGACTGTAGCTCTGGTTTGTTTAACCTCTTTCTGCCATGCACCAATGCCCTTTTTACTACAAATCCTTAAATCAAATGTTAGTCTACTTCTGGCCCAGTCGTCACCTATTATTTTTTCTCTCAATGCTATGGCTTACTTAACTTGGGTGTTTACAGGACAGTGTTGGTAATGGTAAAAGTGGAATTTACAAAACTGTGATGAGCAGGAAATTTCTCAAGGGGTAAAGGAGTGAACTACAAAAAATGAGACCAGCTAACTATATTGTTTGTCATTAGTTTGTATAAGTTTGTCATTAGTTTTAGAGTCCAGGAAAATAGGAGAAAAAAAAGGATGAATGATTCGGTACAAATCTATCACCACTACTAGAAAACTAATTGAAATGTGTTAGTTATATATTAATACGTTAAAAGAATATTACTTTTAAAGTGTAGGAGGGATTCATTTAATGTTAGAGATTATTATGGAAGAACTCAATCTATAAAAAGAGAAACAAATGAAGAATGGAAGTTGTTAATGAAACAATGGTTGTGGAGTTTGAGGTTGTATTCAAGTAGGTTGGGAATCAAGAGAATTAGATTATTTTCATTACTGATATTGAATAATAGTTGACTTAATCTCTTTATAGATGTTAGCCTGAGAAAGGCTATGTAGTGTCTGCTGTCTTGCCTAAATCACTGTAGAAGTACATAATTTTGAAATGAAACAATTGTGTATAAGGCTGCTTAAAACTGTTCTCATGAATTAACCTATACCATTTATGAATATCTTATTTGATACTGGTTGTATGCAACTGCTATTGAATATTTAAGTTTGGGTGTCTTAAACTGGAAGTGTGATGTAATAGAAAGAATTTAGATGTTAGTTCCAAGTAGCCTAGTGTTATGACTCTGGGCTCTGCTTTTTTCTAGCTATATTCTGTGACCACTGTGAGCTTTCACTTCTTATCTGTACATTGACAGCTGTATTAGTTATCAATTGTTGCAAACAAACAAAAACAAACACCCTGTCTCTCCCCCCTAACCCTGCAATAAACTTAGTGGCTTAAAATTGCACACAGTTATTATCTCAGAGTTTCTGTGGTTCAGGAGTCTGGGCATGGCTGATCTATATACCTTGTATTCAGGGTATCTCATGAAGCACAATGAAGGTGTTGGCAAGGACTGGGGTTACCGCAGAAGGCTTGGCTGGGAAGGGATGTGCTTCTAAGCTTACTGCATATTAGTGGGCAGGATTCAGTTTCTTGCAGGCTGTTGTACCGAGGACCTGGTTTCCTTGCCAGTGGTTATCTCAATGCTGCTCTCAGTTCCTTGCCATGGGAGCCGCTCCATATGGCAGCTTGCTTCACCAATTCAACAAGGGAGAGAGTTTACCAGGAAGGTGGAAGTTAGAATCTTGTGTAATCAAATCATGGAAGTGACATCCCCTCCACATCGAGGTCTTTAATTGGTTAGGAGCCAATTACTCAAGGGAAGGGGATTACACGAAGGCATGGATATCAGGAAGCGCTCTTATTGGAGTGTGCCTCTCACATGGACACTAATATCTCCTGTATGATTGTTGTGAATATTCGGAGAAGTGCAATCTGTTTAAAATTCACCTTATTTTTGGTCTCACCTCAAACTGCTTTTCTAGATGTTATCTATTAGTCTTCTGCATAAGAATCGAACTTACAATTACTACTAATACTATTTTCCATTTTTTGTCTTACCATTTGGACTCTGTGGAATCTATTTCTTAATAATGATTGCCATCAGCAATTTGACTTGTGAAATTCTGTTCATCTTCTAGGACCTATCTCAAAGGCTACTTTTTAAATAAACGTTCCTTGACTCAGCTTTCTCTGCTTCAGAAGTCATCTCTCTAATCTGATTTGTAACACCTTTTCATAACTACATTAGGGCATATGTCAGTCTGCCTTGAAATTTTTCTTTGTTACTTAGATTATAAGCAATGATTCTGTCTTAATCTTTTTAAAGGAAAAGATTATAACATCCTTTTGAAAATATAGTAAGACAATATTTGTTGAATAATGAATTACTTTTTCCAAAGTTAATCAGTTTAATAACTTGTAGAGATAGACACAAAGAATTTGATATGGTTGTGATTGTTTTATATATTATAAAGCCGATAGTTCTAGCATCATAAGGAATAAAGTATTGCACATAATTTTCCAATGAACTACAAATATCCTTTTATATGCCTAAAGTGATTGTAACAACCATTTATTTATTCATTTGTTTACTTATTTTTTTAAGCCAACAAATATGTAAGCATTTATTATGATAAGCCCATATATTAGAGATGTGGGATGAAAAATCTCTAACATCTTTTGCGTATTTTTCTGTATTTATAGTAATCTATAGTTTTAAAAAATATATATGTTTTTATTGATTTTAGAGAGGGTGGGAGCTTAATCTATACTGAGGACCGATCCCAAAACTCAGGAATGTGCCCTGATGGGGAATTGAACTGTGATTTCCTGGTTCATAGGTCAACACTTAACCACTGAACACTAGCCAGGCTATAGGAAGCTATCTTAGTAAGACCAATTGAACCTTTTGTTCCTAGCTCAGGCAAAGTATTTTGAGTATCAGACACTGACTGTCGCACAGTTAGATGCACAGTTATAACTGTTAAACTATGTAAGTGAGGACTGCCTGTTTCTGCACCAAACCGTGTTGATTAGGAGTACTAAAACGACTTTTTAGTTTTTTCTCCTTTTTTGGTCATTATTGTGCTGTTAGTGAGATAGTTTCTGGTTCCTTTGTTGGGAAATCAGGTAGCCAAGTACACTAGTTTTCTGTATAAAATGTAAATTCATGGTCTCTGAGTGAAGTTATAAGTTGAAGAGAAAGTCCGTGAGATGGGACATGGAATCTGTTGTGATACCTGAAACGAATTTTTAAAAATGATTTTTTTTCAGAAAATGAATTTCGTTTTCTTTCAGTTACATTCTAGGTAGTTGTAGTTGACTTGTATGTGTTGCCTTATAAGTCATACAAGACTTCCAGATAAAGTCAAGGGTTGCAGTAAATATGGTTAAACTTTTCAGAAGTTTAGTTTGTGTTATTGTCTGAGCATTCAGACAGCGGCTAAATGTCACTGTGTGTTTGTAAATCTAGTCTGTAAGAAAAAAAGGATAGGTGCCTCATAAAGCAACAATCAACTGTGGATTTGAGTGTTCTAAAAAGCATGTAAAGGGATGGGATCACATCCTGTTTAACATTTTCATAAAATGAACTTTGATTGTGAAGTCAGCCTACTTTTTATTTTTATCAAAAGGAGGTTAGTCACTGTACCCATACATTGTTATCTTCAAAGTATCTTTTTTTTAAAAAGAATTTTTATTTCTCTTCAGATTTGTTCTTTGATTATTAAATAGCTTTGACATTATCCTGCTAAACATTTTGGTTTCTAACTCTGTGTTTAGTCTTGTGAATTTTATTTAGACTATAAAGAACAACAATGGCCTAATTTAACTATATTAAGTTATTTCATAGTACATGTCCTTTGGCAAGCATTCGGCAATATAGATCTGTCTGTTCAGGGTATTTTTTAGTTAACTTATAAATTTTCTGTTTTTTCTATGTTAGAAAAATGGTCATACTTTAGAAACTAATCAGCCTAATGCTTTTGCTTATGAAAATTTTACCATCATTACTTCTTTTCATTTTGGATTGAGAAAATGAATCCAGATATAAAAGAAAGTACAGGATGTTGGGGAAAAGTAGCTGTTAAACAGTGGACCATCTAATAACTAATTTGCTATCATATTGACTCTCTAGCACATAGGTAACCCTCCAAAAAATCATCCAGTTTGCTAAATTATGGAAATTTTGTGGAAGACGTTGACCTGGATTTTGAGCCTCATCATGGCTTCATCGGAATTTCATAGTGACCACAGGCTCTCATACAGTTCACAAGGTAGGATCCCTGCTTTTGAAACTGACAAAAAATATTGCTATTAATCAACTACAGTCCTGCGCTCTACCAGCTGAACTACTGAAGGGACTGAATATTTAGTTTGGGTGAGCATTTTCTTTGGAATATGTGGTGGTAGGAGCAGTGTCAGTTCAGTGCACATTTCATAAATGTTAAGGCCTCTAAAAGTCTACTTAACTTGTTCCACTAGTATGTAATAGCCATTAGATTTTAGAGTTGACTGGTCTTTTTCAAAAGATACAGACCAGGCCTCTTCTTCTGAATCCAAAACATTGATAGGCTCATTCATTGCTAGAGTGTACAGGTAAAGTCATGTTCAAATGGAATCCAAAGGTTTCTACTATGGAAGAGCAAGAAACTAGACACATTTTACATAATAAAAGGCTAATATGCAAATTGACCAAATGGCAGAACAACGTGTCGCTATGATGTGCACTGACCACCAGGGGGTAGACACTCAACGCAAAAGCTGCCCTCTGGTGGTCAGTGTTCTCCCACAGAGGGAGTGCCACTCAACTGGAAGCTTGGCTGAAGGTGGTGGTGGGAGCTTTTCCTGCCGGCTAGGCCGTGCTAAGAATGTCCATCAGTCAGACATCCCCCAAAGGCTCCCAGACAGCGAGAGGGCACAGGCTGGGCTGAGGGGACGCATACTCTATCACATTCATAGTCTTTTAAAATAATGTTATTTTGAGGAATTAAATAATTGAAACTTAATTCATCTTTAGATTTGAAACCTTTACTCTTTTACTTTAGTATACTATAACATATTTTTCCATAACTCACCCCTGAAGGTTCATAGTGTTAACTGATATAATTGTTATTCACACTGCTACTTTGTTGTTCTGTTAAATTTTCTTTTCTTCCATGTGTTTTTTTCTTCTTCTGGATACTCTGCTTTATGATTATGAAGAGGAATTCCTGACTTATCTAGAACACTACCAGCTCACTATTCCAATAAGGGTTGACCAAAATGGAGCTTTCCTCAGCTATACTGTGAAAAATGACAAACACTCGAGGAGAAGACGGAGTATGGACCCTATCGATCCACAGCAGGCAGCATCTAAGTTATTTTTTAAACTCTCAGCCTATGGCAAGCACTTTCACCTGAACTTGACCCTCAACATGGATTTTGTGTCCAAACATTTCACCGTAGAATACTGGGGAAAAGATGGACCTCAGTGGAAACATGATTTTTTAGACAACTGTCACTACACAGGATACTTGGAAGATCAACATAGTACAACCAAAGTGGCTTTAAGCAACTGTATTGGGTTGGTAAGTAGATGTTATAATTTTAAATTTCTTATGGGGATATAAATTCTCAATGTAAATGTATTTTCTCAGATTAATAAATACGTATATACAACATCTAATTTTTTTTTATTTCTGCTGCCTTTGCTTTTGATAGTATTGATTTTTTTCAAAGTCAGAGCAATATTAAAAACCCTATATTGTTAGTAGAAAAATGAATGAAACCTCAGATTTAATTTTAGATTTAAGTTTTTTTCTGTTCAAGTAAGATATCTTTTATGCATAAACAAAATCCAATCATTGGTGAAGAATTTAAGGTTATGTGTGCATGTATTTGTGTGTATTATTTCAGGAAACCATGACACTGATTGCCTCTTTAGGTTTCTTTCTGTAATGTCGTTCTTTGGTTGTCAACATAGCTTAATTATGTGTGACCTACTTATGATTATAAAGTCTTAAACTTTTTTAAAAAATTGATTTTAAAGAGGAGGGAGGGAGGGAAGGAGGAAGGGAGTGAGGGAGGGAGGGAGGAAGGGGGAGAGAGAGAGAGAGAGAGAGAGAGAGAGAGAGAGAGAGAGAGAGAGAGAGAGAGAGAGGGAAACATCAATGTGAAAGATTGCCTTTGATCTCTTGCTTTTTGTATATGCCCTGATCAGGGAGCAAATCCAAAATGTGGGCGTGTATCCTGACCGAAAATCTAACCTGCCATCCTTCAGTGTATGGCACAAATGCTCCAATTAAGTGAACTAGGTCAGCCAAGGTGGTTATAAATTCTTGAAGCAAAATCTTTTATACCAATATGTCTTTATTAAACAAAATTTTTCTGCATTTATCTGAAAATTGATTATAAATTTTATTTTACTTAGATTTTAATTGAGTGTAGGGTCTATCCTAGGCATTTGATTCCATTCTAGTCTAATGGTAAATACACAGTTTAAGGTTACAAAACAAAGCATATTCCCACATTTCCTGAACTGCTTTTACCATATTCAGGCTAATGTAGATGTTCCATTAAAGCTCTATTTGTGTAAGGAGCACCTTTTTTTTTTTTTTTTTTTTTTTTTTTTTTTCTGCAAAAAGCTTTATTGTTTCCATTTGGTCCGGTGCATGGGGAAGGGCTGCAGGGTGGTTAAAAGGGTAGCTAGTGGTGTCAGGGAGAGGCTCAGGGAAAAGCCGGACACCAGGGGAATGCAGAGGGGCCCCTCAAAGGACTCTGAGCTCTAAAGGCTCCTAGCGGAGCTTGAGGGTGAGCCTTTGGAAGCCCAGCCTGGGGCCGGCCAGCCTGCGGATATGAGTCCGATGGTCGCCCATCTTCTGGATGAGTTTCACCTCCTAACCCCGGAAGTGCTTCTGCAGGAAGTCACAGAGCTGAGGGTCTGTGCAGGGGGGACTCAGGGCCTGCAGCTCCTGAAGGACCTGGTTCAGGTTCCTCTCCAAGGCCAGGGCGGCTTCCATGGCGATCTGAGTTTTGTCCCACTCATCATGGGACTGCTTCAGCACGTCCTGGGGAAAAACTCGGCCACCGCGCTGGTTTTGCATCTTTCATGAGGGACGCTGGGCATCCTCCGCGTCTTCTCCGCTGACGCGCAGAAGTGGCCCCGCCCTCCAGAGCCACACGGCCGTGGAAATAGAAGCCCAGAGAGAGGTAGGTAGGTGTAGGAGGCCTGAAGGAGCGGGTTGGCCAAGCGATTCAGGACCGCTCCATCTGGGTGGAATAATTCTGATGAATTTGGGGGCTTGTGTTGTTCCGAAATAAGAAGTTTAGGTAAAAAACGGCATTTATTGGGCTGGTCTCAGAGGCTGAGGATGGCTTGAAGAGATTCTGAAGATGGTGTCTGGTCCGAGGCTGGAGGATGGGGTGTCCCTGGGTTCCAGCCAAACACTGTTGAAGCAAGAGACAGATCTGAGGGATCTGCCAAGAGCACAGTTTTTTTTTTTTTTTTTTTTTTTTAACCCTCAACCAAGAATATTTTTTCCCCATTGATTTTTAGAGTGAAAGAAAGAGAGTCAGAGAGCAACACCAATGTGTGAGAGAGATTGGTTGCCTTCCACATGCCCTCTGACCAGGGCTGTGAACCTGCAACTGAGGTACTTGCCCTTGACCGGAATTAAACCTGGGATCCTTGTATCCAAGGAGCCAAACTGTAGAGCACAAACATTTTGATGCTCAAGTCATACTTTCAGAAATGTTCCCCCCCCCCATACTCTATCACATTCATATTCTTATTCCTAGGTTAATATAAAAATATGTAATTAAAGTTGGAGTTAAATAAGTCGTAAATTTGAAAGGAGTATTAGGAACCACACAGTTTAGGAAAATTTTCATTATAGCTATAAATAAGAATTTGTTCAGATTGTCTATTTTCTATAGTTAGTGGGTCAAATGATTAGATTTTAAGATTTGGGACTAATTTCTATAAATAGAAACATTGAGTACTTTTATCATTAGTTTCTCTGTAAAGTGTTAGGCTTTATATACAAAATAGATTTATCTTTTTAAATAAAAATAGATTTTCCAAAGTAGATATGTTGTTTTAAAAGCTTTCATATGTTTAAATGACATTTACTGTTGAATATGATAGAAAAGTACCATTGTCAGTCATTGATCAAGCCTTCTAAATTTGGCATTAACATTAATTATGCCATTGGTAGTTTTAATAGGTTGGTGAAAGGGACAAATTTGAGATTTAGAAAAAAACACACTAATTCCATTGTGAAATTTGAGGGAATAGGAGTGATTGGAGGTGTGAAGATGAGTTAGAACATTTAGGAAATAATGAAAGCCTTTACAAAATTATGGCTCTGAGAATAAATTTGAAGAGAAAATAAATTTGGTGAGACAATAGAGGATTGATATTTTATTAAATTTTTCTTCCCTGACATCTAATAAGACTATATAGTAGATATTTTATAATATTTTAGGAAGTTGAAATAGAGAAAGGCAGAGACAGAAACATCGATCAGTTCCAACTGTAGTTTCCCTGATCTGGATGGAACCCAAAGCCTGACTGAGAATTAAACCTTAGACCTTTTGGTGCACAGGATGACCCTCCAACAAACTGAGCCACACCAGCCGGGACCACCTGATTATTCTTCATCCTCACTGAGACTTTCTGTCTCTTGGTCTCTTTCCCTGCCTTTATTAATACCTTTTTACTTTGCTTCCTATTGAAACTGCATGGTCTATGTTGACTGAATACTTGATTAAGGTTAGCTGTGCCATGTTTGTCCACTGAAGTTACTATTTACCTCTTGGCAGCTGATAAGGTATCTGTGAACAGACACTGGAGGGCTATGTAAATATCCTGTTAGTCTTAGTAACCCTTGTCTTCAGTCTTATTTTGTATCATGTTATATTTTTAATCAGATGAATATGTGTAAAAGCTTTTTAAAAAATCCTACTTTTGCCCTAGCTGGTTTGGCTCAGTGGATAGAATGTTAGCCTCCGGACTGAAGGGTCTTGGGTTTGATTCTGGTCTAGGGTACATGTCAGGGTTTTGGGCTTGATCCCCAGTAGGGGGCGTGCTGGAGGCAGCCAATCAGTGATTCCTTCTCATTATTGATGTTTCTAAATTTCTCTCCATCTCTCTTCCTCTCTGAAATCAATAAGAATATATTAAAAAAAAAAAAAACTTTAAGGGAAATGAGGAAGGGAATGCTGATATCTTAGGGATAATTTTTCCACGTGGAAATTTTTAAGTACAAAGGTTTGATGTTAGAGTGTTGAGGAAAAGCAAGAATACCATCGCTAGAGCTAAGTAAAAGAGAGGAAGAATAATGGAAGGTGAAGTTAGAAACAGAACTGGAGGCCAGATGGTAGATTTTAGAGGACACAACTAGGATAAAAATAATGATAACTCCAAGCTTGAGGCCTGAATAATTGGAAAAATATAGTAGTCATCAAATGGCATGAGAAAGACTCAGGCATTAATTGAGATGGAAAAGTTTATAGAAAGAATAGTTTGGGGGGTGATATATATCAGAAGTTTAATTGAACATGTTGGATATGCAGGAGAGAGATGTGAATTATGAACTTACAAATTTGGGAGTCATCGATATATAGATGACAGGGACAGGAGATTACATGGAATTGCTTTGGTGGGGAGAATAGATAGAACAAAGAAGAGGTTCAAGGGCTGAATCTTTGGGCACTCCAATGGGTTAAGGAGATCAGAAAGATAAGGAGGAGAGTAGCAAAGAACAATGGAGTAAGAAATTGAAGGAAAACCAGGTAAACATTCTAGGAGCCAAGTAAGAAAGTATTTCAACAGAAAAATGTCAAAATAAGAGTAGGACTGAACCCTAACCAGAATTTATCAATGAGGAGGTTGTTGATGACTTTGACTAAGTCATGGTGGGATTTGGAAAATAGACAAAAACTTGTTGGCAAAGGTTTAAGCAGGAATGGGAGAAAGGACTATATAGACAATGATATAAGGAATTTTAGAAAAGCAAGCAATGATCAGTTGCTGCCAGCAGAAGTGGGGGTGAGAGGTTCTGTTTTGTTTGATAGGAATTACTATAGAGAGAAAGGAAGTTTCTGGAGTGACGTTCTTGATAGGAACAGAAGAGATGAACTCATCTGCATAAACATAATAATTGTCCGTAGCTAAGAGAATATGCAGCTCATCCATAGTAACAGTATATAAAGTAGATTACATGGATGAGACTCAGGTAGGTGGGGTATTTGTTGTAGGACTTTGCAGGAGGTTGTGCCATGTTGCTTATTGGAACAGGAGATGGAAAAATGAGGTGTTAGGGGATTAAGAAGAGAGGAGAAAGTATGAAATATTTATCCAGAAGTGCAGCATACTGAATAAACCAGAGAAACAGTATAATTGCCATGAAGCGTTAAGGACACAGTTGAGATTATGATGATGAAGTTCAAGGAGATCAGCTGGCATCTTGTTTGTGTTTTCCTCTGGCTGAATGAAGCTGCAAGGGTACAGGCCCAGAGTAGCGACGTTGAATTTAATCTGCAACTTGCCATAGTCTCAGTTTCAAGGGTTCCCTTCTTCTATCTTTCCAGTACTGTCTCTCTAGTATCTCAACTCTAAGAGACAGCCTTTTTATGCCCCAGAGAACCCACTCATCCTTCTCATTGTCCACCCAATCCATGTCTTCACTTCCCTCCAAACACACCTTCAATTCCCTTGCCCTTTTCTCCCTTCATGGAATTTATTTGACTAAACTACAACCCTGTTCACTTTACTCACATTTCTGTTCCAATGTCACCTTATTGGAGAGGATGACCCTGACCATACTAAATAGTTTATGTAATTCCCTCACTTCCAATTACTTTCTATTCTCTTACACTTCTTTATTTTTTGTGTTAACATTTATCACTACCTGATTGATCATTTATTTATCTAAGGAATGAATTACTTTTTTTCTAGCTCCTCCCACTGGAATGTAAACTCCAGGATAGAGTTGGAACTTTGGGTTCATTATTGTATCCCCACCATCTAGCACAGTACCTGCCCTATCATAGGCATTCAAACATAGTCGGTGAATGAATAAAGTCACAAACCACCCTCAGAGAATAAGGGAATTATAGTACAGTGGCTGAGTCCAGCTCCAAAGTCTGCCAAGTGAGTTTGTTACTTAACTTTGCTCAGTCTCCACTTGTCATCTGCCCAGAGGAACTGATAGTAGTACTTACTTCAAAGATCTACTAAGATGAAATGAAAACAACAACAACGATGAAATGCGATGATATGTGTGAACGTCTTACAGAGTACTCAACACACAAAATCTCTGGATTCTCTTCTGGAGTCCTTCCATTCTTGAAATTAGAGATTGTATCTGTTTACAAGGCGTTTGACTCCCCCCCCTCCCCCCCGCCCCCCCCCCAGCAACCTGAGATTCTTGGCTTGAGTGACTTGCCCACAGTCCAGGATGACGTTAGAGCTCTTCCTTTCAGGGCAGTCAGTACTCTAGGCCCCACTTTCTACCCCTCCCTCTTACCAAGACTTCTCACACCTCCCCTCCTTCCCACAGGGGCCATGCTCGGTGCACTGTCCCACTGTTAACCTTCTCTGGTAAAGTAATTCATGCATTTGTTAATGGCAGATTATGTCATTCCTGTAAGTATTTGCATTTAATTTAGAGGATAATTATCTTTAAAGTAAAATGGTGAAAATAATCTGAAGTGACGAAGGGCTGTTTTCTTGGTGTGTTTTTTGCATTCCTTAGCTCACTTCGGTACAGGTGGCTGCCAACTTCATCTCTAAGTTAGAGCAGTTCTGACTATGCCTTATCTTTCTTTCCAAGCATATGGTACCGCAACATGAATTTCCTAAAACAGAATCATAGAGGCTGAGATTCAAAGGGGCTTCAGAGATTATCAGGGCAAGAGGCTTTCAGCTCCCCCCTTCTTCTTTTTAAAGAAGCAAAAACACTTTCTCAAATGAAATGTAATGTGGAAACTTCATATATAGATGAATAAAAGCATAGCTGATTCTTGAACCCAGGAATCTAAGCTGTGTAGGTCTCTCTTTGTTGTCTGGGGCAGTCCCCCGAGGGCACTTCCATGGAACCCTTGGGGCTCCCCAGAGTGCTGTTTTAAAACCACTAATTTACACCAACCCTTTCATTTTCCAGCTGAGGCAATGCCAGGGAGTTTGTGTTTTATCCCGTGTTACAGGGCAAATTAGTTGGATTAAGAGCAGTCCTCTCATGTGCCACACTTAGGAAAGCACTATTAGACAGGGATGGAACGTCTTATTCCTGATGCAGATAACTTTTACTATCTCATTTCTTTTAATTAGCAGTTTTTCTACGCGGTGTACGTAGCACATGTGGGACACTTTCTGTGGCTGTAACTGATACAGGGAAAGAGGAGATATAACCCTTTGCCTTAGGAAAGCCTCTGGTATACTCGGGGAGATAACACATGCAGGTGAAAAGCTGTAATACATTGAAATACAGGAGTTGAGATGTAGCAAAGCAGTGTGGAATTAATTAAACATAAATAAATTAAAAATAAATAATAAGTTCCGTTGTAACCCAGGGGGTGGGGGAAGCCACTCCAGTTGGGCTAGAGAAAGGACTGGCTCAATAACTAGGTGTAAGGCAATTATACTGTGAACAAGAGCAGAGTTTTGTGTGACTTCCAGCTCCTTCACTTACTTGCCTCTGTATAATATTGAGCAAGCTCTTAACCTTTGAGCCTGCTACCTCACTGGCACAACAGTGACCTATGGCAGGTATATTAATTAAGGACATATTAATTGGTGAAACATAAACCTTGAAATGTCAGTTATCACATTAAAAGTTTATTTCTCCCTTATATCGGCGTCTGTGTTCAACAGCTTTCCATGAGGTCATTCAGGGACCCAGGTTCTTTCTCTTTTGGTTTCCATCTTCCCTCGGTCTTTTTTTTTTTTCTTCTTCTTTTTTTTTTTTTTCCAGAGAAAGAGTGGAGAGTTCCGCTGGGGAGATTTCAGGGGCTTGCCTGAAGGTCATGTACAACACTGCCCATTTTCTATTGGCCAAGATGACTTACAAAGCTATACCTACACACAGAGGACGTAGTTAAGTGTGCATAATTTGGAAAGAGAATAAGTCTTAGTGAGCCCATAGAGATCTCTGCTATCTCATAGAGTTGTTAGGAGGATTAGAGGAAATAATGTATGTGTCATTCTTTGTACAGGGCATAACATGTAGAGGTACTTAAATATCCTTTTTAAAGGAAATGAAAATTTATATAATGTTTTGCTAAGTATGGACAATTTACTAAATTTTTATTAATGCGTGTTTTTACCTTTTTGGAGAGGTATCTGTTTATTTTTAACTTTTTGAAATGACAACATTCAAATGCTTCTTCTTGGCAAATTCTCTGTTTCTTTTTCTGTTAGCATGGTGTTATTGCAACAGAAGATGAAGAATATTTTATTGAACCATTAAAGAACACCACAGAGGATTCCAAACAGTTTAGTTATGAAAATGGCCATCCCCATGTAATTTACAAAAAGTCTACCCTTCAGCAACGGCATATGTATGATCACTCTCATTGCGGGGTTTCTGGTAAGTGAGCTACGTATTGTATTGCATTGCCATTCCATTTCTTCCGTCAAAGTTAGTAATAAAAGTAAACAATAATTTGAGTAATTAAAATGATGATAATGTCCAGAGTCCTCTTTAAAAATGTCACCTACCCATAGTTTTAAGTCAGTCTTGGAATCTCTTTGAAATAGAAATCTGTGTAAAATTCTATTACTTTTTCTTTGAAGGGGAAAGAAGCCCACATTATTTTATCCAGGAAATAGTTATAGTTCTCATGCATGGGTGTTCCATAGCACTTGGTGCTGTGTGCTTAGTTTGGTATTTTCATGCTAGTGACAGGAATCTAGACACTTGAATAAGACTTGAAGAGTTTTAAGGTAGTATTTGAGGTTGAATATAGGAGCAACAAACCTAAACGTCATTGGTCAAGGAAGGCTTCATGGAGGAAGTGACTTCTAAACTGAGGCCCAACGGATAAGTCAGGGTAGCTGGGCAAAGGTAGAGGGAGCAGTTGGTAGTGTTCCATGTAGAGGGAACAGCATTGACAAAGGTTCTGGACCTGAAGAGACAATGTCATCTTCCAGGAACTGATAGTTTATATAACTGGATAGTAGAATGTGGGGTTGGAGAAATAGGGGTGAGATTCATGATAGTTGGGGGAGTGGTAGTGAGGAATGAAACTGCAGAAATAAGAAGAGGCCAAATCAAATCACAAAGGCCTTATAAACCATGTTAAGGAGCTGGTTTATCTTAAATGTGCTGGAAAGCCTTGAAAGATTTTATGCAGTAGGAATCACATGGACAGATTTGGATTTCATAAAGATTACTCTGGCAGCCATCTAGAGACTAGACTAGCGCTAGGTCTGCAAACTCAGTCAACAGAGCTAAATATCAACAGTACAACAATTGGAATTTCTTTTGAGAGCCACATTTTTTAAACTTCTTCAACGTCACTTCTTCAAAATAGACTCGCCCAGGCTGTGGTATTTTGTGGAAGAGCCACACTCAAGGGGCCAAAGAGCTGCATGTGGCTTGCGCGCTGCAGTTTGCTGACCCTGGCGCTAGGGAAATAGGAGCCTGTTCAGGCTAAAGATTAGAAAACTTAGAGAAATAGAGGAAATAGCATAGCATAGTAGAAAGAACATGGACTTTGGTATAGCTTTGGATAAATTACTCAACCTCTCTCTATGAGAACTTTTATCACACATTAGTTAGTTAAATTATAGCTATCATTGTTGGGGTAACTGATTCTAGCATTAAAAGAATGAAATATATACATGACCAGATTTGTTCTTCCGTGTAGTTATAGTAGCTAAAACTAGGGACATTGTATTTCAGAGGCAGATTTCAGAAAGAAGAATTCACTAACAAGTACTTTAAGTGAAAAATGAGGTGGGTTCAATAGGTAGATTTGTAAAAAACTGAGTGGATTGCCTTGCATTAGTGAATGCATCACCCTTTTATTTTTTTTGGGGTCCTTCATGGGCTCCTTATTTTCTGCTTCAAGTATAAGTGTTCTTTAACCTTCTTTTCTCAGCTGACTGTTCTTATTCTGCGTTCTCTCTTCTTGAGTAATCTCTGAGGCTAGTAATTATGTGAGGTCCTTTGTTGGTCAGAATAATTAGTACTAGAAAAAGGCCACTTCAAGAGAATCCATTTAAAGCATGAAATAAAATTTCAGAGTGAATAATAATAAAAAGTGTTTAATTTGTCTTTGTATTGAGTAATGGATCTAAACATTATGGAAGTAATTTATCTTATGTTTAACAAAAGTTAGGCTTATAGTACAACTATCTGTAAGTTTTTTAAAATATATTTTATTGATATTTTATAGAGAAAGGGAGAGGGATAGTTAGAAACATCGATGGGAGAGAAACATCCATCAGCTGCCTCCTGCACACCCCCTACTGGGGATGTGTCTGCAACCATAGTACATGCCCTTGACTGGAATTGAACCCAGGACCTTTCAGTCCACAGGCCAACACTCTATCCACTGAGCCAAACCAGTTAGGGCTCTATAAGTTTTTTTTTAAATGAGGATTAAAATATTTAGTTGTTTATTATAATTTTTTAGTAGCAAATTATCCTCTTTTATTTTGTTGTTAATCCTCAACCAGGATATTTTTCCATTGATTTTTAGAGAGATTGGAAGGTAGGGGGAGAGACAGAGAGAGAAACATCAATGTGAGAGACACATTGGTTGGTTGCCTCCTGCACATGCCCTGACCATGGCCAGGAATTGAGCGTGCAACTGAGGTAAGTACCCTTCACTAGAATCGAACCCAGGAGCATTCAGTCTGCAGGTCGGTCGACGCTTTATTCACTGAGCCAAACTGGCCAATGCAAATCATCCCCTTTTGAAGTGCCTATCTTGTTAAGTGATCTTCCTTGGACAGATTATTATTTTTCAACTAGAGTCCCAATGCACAAAATTTGTGCAAGAGTAGGCCTTCCTTCCCTCAGCAGCCAGCACTGCTTCCCTCTGGCACCCACGACCCGGGCTTCCCTCACAGCCCTGGCTTTATCTGGAAGGTCATCTGGTAGGATGTCTGGTCTAATTAGCATATTACGCTTTTATTATTATAGATGGTTTAGGCATAAGTCAAATTGCCATCATAACATCCTGCCCTTTTTGGGGAAGATTTTCTTCTGCAATCTCTTCCCCTGCATTACTGAGACTATTTCATAAATGGTTCTTGCTTTTAATCTGTTCCATTCACTAGCCATTTCTACCTCCCCTAACACCAGGTGATTTAGTTCATACCCTCATTGTTTCTTGCCAGTACACTGTAATTGTTTCTAACTGGTCTTCCTGTCTCCAGCTTTGTCTTTCTGTCTCCTAGATCTGGCTGTACTACATACCTTCAAACACATCACTGGCTTCCCAATAATGGAAATATGGTAGTAGTCCCCTAAGTTTTGTGAGAATGTCATTAGATGTTAGTGGGAAAAAGTGTTTTGTATTCACTAAGTTTGGGAAATGTCTGGTTAAGAACTACTGATCTTGTGATACTATTTCAACAGCTTAGTTCAAGACACTAACTGAATGAGTTTCAAAAATATTTGACTGATTCTTCTCATGGTCATATTCATCTTATTTCTTAAAATTTATAACTTCTCCCAAAGTCATATTTAAAAGGAAAGGTTAGAGAAGTTAGAAAGACAAAGTATCACTTTCTGTCAAGTATATAAATTCATCTAATTTTTTTTCTGACTAAATTTTTCAATAAGTGGAGGTTCAAAAAATTTTCTGTATATAAAGAAATATAAGTGAGATATACAGAGGACCTGTACCTGCTCAAGTTTATTAAGTGAAGATGAATATAAATGAGGCAAGTATTTACGAATGTCATAGCACTCATGGATTTTCTGTGTGCTGAAGAACCAAATGTCTAGAAAATCATGGGTCAACCACAGTCCACATTGAGATGTAGTCATGCTGGAATCATTCTAATACCCTCTACCTCTAGGTTTTGGAAAAGGAATACTTTGGGTACTCTGTCAGTATAAATAGTTGTAGACTGCAAAATTAAGTGAAAAATTTATGCACAGCTTTTTAGAATTGAGACAGCTTGTGTAGTAGAATTGCTCTAATAAAGATAGTTTAATAAACACATCTTACTTTAAAAATAAATGCTCATCTTAGGAATGGACTTTTGCAACATTAATGTTCTTCATCAGAACTGTCTTAGGCTGTTTAGAAAATTAGTGCTCTAGTTGCTTTTTAAACAGCTTTAAATGTTTTTTTAAATACCTATTTTAAATTTAAAAGTATTATGATGTAATCACTTACTAGAATAATGTGAAATGATTATTTGAAAATTCTTTTTATTTAGTAGTTCATTAGGCTTATTTTGTTCTTACAAGCAGTTGAATGTTAATAATAAAAATATCATTTTTATTAAGTAATTCATTAGATTTACACTTAGTGGCCAGATTATTATGACCATCCCATCAGTACTTCTTTGACACTTCCAAAAATACTAAATATTGAAAACTTCCTAAGCAAATACTCTCAAGGTTTTATTATTATCATTATTCGCATAACTAATTCATTGTACTAATGGAGTGATCATAATAATCTGGCTGGTAATAATAATCTGGCCACTCAAGTGTACTTTGTTTTCATAAGCAATTGAATATTTTATTTTTGTATATAATTATTTTGAAAACTTTTAAAGAGTTTAATTTTCTCACTATTACATTTCCCCTCACTTTGAAAAATCTCAATATGTTAGGGAATTTATGAGAAGCATGTCTAAAGGAAAGACCTATAAATAAATAAATGTAATTAATGAGCCTATCTGAACTAGTTAATTGTTTCTGTTGTAGACCTCATGAATGGCAACCCTTGGTGGCTGAATTCCACATCTGCTTTTCCTTCTGCACCACCAACTAATGGCACACACAGACAGAAGAGATCCATAAGCACTGAGCGCTATGTGGAGACGTTAGTCGTGGCAGACAAAATGATGGAGTCCTATCACGGCCGCAAAGACATTGAACATTACATTTTGAGTGTAATGAATATTGTAAGTTTGATCCCTCTACATAATTTAACAGTTTTGTTGTGTGTGGTTTTATTTATTTATTTATTTATTTATTTATTTATTTATTTATTTTTTACTAAGGCCATAGATTTCTATTGGGAAATAAAGATTTTAAGAAATTTTTTCATCTAAAATGAAAAAGACTTTATCTACTAATGTTTCAGTTCCATAGAAAATGCATTTAAAGGTGATCTTATTATTTTCAGATAATATGACTTTTTAATTAGGTCATATTAAATCTTGTTTAAGAGTTTTTCTTTAACTTGACACATCAGCTCATCCTCTTCATTACTGTGTTGTCATTCATCTTTAGGAGAAAATATTTCTTGAGGTAGTCTTGGACCTTTTACCGAAGCATCTTGAGGGTATTGCTTTAAGTGACATGGGATGAAAGAAAAATTTTTTTAATACCGAGTAGCTAAATTCATGAAAAATTGTTTTGCCACTCTATAAAAATATTAATCACCATATGATTTTTGTCTGACTTTGTGTCTTTTCTTATTTTCTGGAGGTCAGGTTGCCAAACTTTACCGTGATTCCAGCCTAGGAAACGTTGTGAATATTATAGTGGCCCGCTTAATTGTTCTCACGGATGATCAGGTAAGAATGAGTTAGTTTATAAACCTAAAATCTTAACAGATAGGCTATCGAATTATGTATTGTAAAATAACATATTGTATTATTGCTCCTCTTAGGAAGTTCTAGTTGAATATGATTTTTAGCACTAAGCATTTAGCATTTTTTAAAAATAAAATATTTTTATTGATTTCAGAGAGGAAGGAAGAGGGAGAGAGAGAGAAAAAAAACATCCACAATGAGAGAGAATCATGGATTGGCTGCTTCCTGCAAGTCTCCCATTGGGGATCAAGCCCACAACCCAGGCATGTGCCCTTGGCCGGAATCGAACCTGGGACCTTCCGGTCCCCAGGCTGACGCTCTATCCACTGAGCCAAACCGGCTAGGGCACATTTAGCAAATTTAAAGTTTCTAAGAATATACCTCTTATGTCATGTTAGAGCTATATATATGTATATTAGCTGTATGTTTCAGTATAAAAACAAACATTTGCACAACAGACCTTTTAATAGTGATTTTGGTTGATTTTATATGCTGATAATCACACATATTCACATTATCTTAAAGCTAGAACTAGAAAGAATGTTTGTTTAATAGTACACTAAATTAGCTCTAGGTCAGATATTACAGAGATAAAAATTGGCAAGAGAGTATTCCTAGAAACCACTGCTTCTAATTATAGCCCCACTTTAGTCTTCAAAAGTTTTAACAACTGACCTTAGTAATTTGTTTGGAACATTTCTGGTATGCATGTTGTATTGCAGCCAAACTTGGAGATAAACCACCATGCAGACAAGTCCCTCAATAGCTTCTGTAAATGGCAGAAATCCATTCTCTCCCACCAAAGTGATGGAAACATCATTCCAGAAAATGGGATTCCCCACCACGATAATGCGGTTCTTATGACTAGGTATGGTTTGTTGCAAGTATTTTACCTTTGATTGTTGTCTTTGATATTGTAACTATATTTGGTTCTATCTAAAGCCTCATTTAGGCAATGAATGTAGAGAAAGTAAAATGGTAATTTATTGTTCACCCTGAGAAAGAATATATTGCACTGTTATTGTGTTTGCATCAACTAAGAAAAAGGAAGATTTAGTTGAGGTAGAAATTTAATGAATATCTTACCTTCTACTAAGGTCTGTTCATAGGCTTTAATTGGAAGCATATATATGCTTTGTGAATTGAACATACTAAATGCAATATTTAAAGAAGTCATCATTCTTGGTTATAAAATATATTAATTATTCTTACCTCCAAATGTTAAAAGAGTGGCCATCGGTAGTTACACAGTTTACTTAGATGAATGCTTACTTAATTAAAAATATTTAAATTAAGATATTATATATATATATATAGCTTTATTATGCTATATGTTGAATAGCTTGTCTCTTAGGCAAACATTATTTGGTGGTAACCCAATGAATGCATCTATTTCTTACCAGTTTTACAAAACTGTTTCCAGATCCATTTTATTCCTTACTTTCCAACAACTCTGTGAAGTAGATATTGTTATTATTTTTCTCAGGTAAGAGATGAGGAAACTGGTTCAAAATACTGAAGTTGCTCAAGATCATTCAGCTAATAAGTGAAAAAACAGGACTGAAACCCTGGGGTTTCTTTTTTGATTATATTATTCTGTCTTGGATTTTTTTATACTCTAGGTATGATTGGCTAGAAGTATGCTTAAATCATTTTAAGATAAGTTTATCTTTTTACCTCTAATCAGCATTTAATATTGAAAACAATAAGTAATAACTAAGAACAATAAACGAAGTGGAAGCATTGTTCTATCTTTGCTAAATGCAATTTCTTTTAATGTGTATTTACATACACTTCATCTGGTGTGCACATGGCTCTATGTCAAACTCTGTGGAGGGAGGAGAAAGAATATAGAATTAGAATCTTTAGACCCAGAATCTTGAGTGAATTTAGCTTAAAAATTTTTTTTTATCTGAGTTGTAAAGTTTGAGTTTATTTTTATCAGTTAGACTTACTTTAATTGCCTTCATCTACCTGACATCATAAACCAGAAAAATTTGTTTGGACATGCTTGTTGAATAAAAATAAAATTGTACAGTTTTATATTCATATGTGTTGATACACCAGTTTGATAAATCCTGCAATTCCTCAGCATCTTGTGATCTGGAATGATTCCCAGATATATTTGAGAAGTACAAATATAGAAATTGTGCAAATATAGAAAGCTTTGTGTAAAAATATATATGGATATCATTAATGTCAATGAAATTATTAGAGGTAAATGTCTATTACATATGGTTAGGAAAATGACTGCAGATATTTACATTGGCTCCTGTATTTACATTTATAAAGCCCTACCTCATCACAAAGATAATACCCAGTGGCTCTTGATGCTTCACATTTTTATTATTGTACAAGAGGCCTGGTGCACGAAATTCATGCATGGGGGGGCCGTGTCACTCAGCCCAACCTGCACCCTCTCCAATATGGGACCCCATGAGGGATCCTTCTCATCCAAGACTACTGGCTCCCAACCGCTCACCTGCCTGCCTGATTGCCCCTAACCGCTTCTGCCTGCCAGCCTGATCAGTACCTAACTGCTCCTCTGCCATCCTGATCAATGCCTAACTGCCCCCCCCCCCCCCCCCCGTGCTGGTCTGATTGCCCCTAACTGCCCTCTCCTGCTGGCCTGCTCCCTCACAACTGCCCTCTCCTGCTGACCTGGTCTTCCCCAACTGCCCTTCTCTGCTAGCCTGGTCCCCCCCAACTCCCCTCCTCTGCTGGCCTGGTCACCCTAGCTGTCTTCCTCTGATGGCCTGGTCACCCCTAACTGCCCACTACTGCCCTCCCCTGCAGGCCATCTTGTGGTGGCCATCTTGTATCTTAGAGTGATGCTCAATTTGCATATTACTCTTTTATTAGATAGGATCTGCCTTGGATTTGTCACTTTTGAATCAAGTGACAGGAGTTATTCCAGCAGTGCACATTTGTAAGTATTTGAGTAGTGAAGTACATCTGGGCAGTTAGCCACTCTTTCTTTGCACCGACTACAACATTTGGCTGACTGACTTGTTACTTTGAATTGGTCCAGATATTTTTTGATCCTTTGCAGAGATCTTTGGTTCAATAAGAACTTTTAGTGCTTTTTTTGATGTCTGAAATTTGAATCTAAAATTTTCTTTGTAAACTTGTCTCCCAATGGTCAGACCAGCACTAGAAATTATCCCAGGATTTAATAGAACAGTATTTTAATGGGTTGATATCTCATGTCATTTTATATTGGTTATGTAGTGGAGATTAGAAAGTGTCACTTTGGGCAGTATAGAATTGTTATTGAAGTCTCAAACTAACTTTTACTTTATTTAAAAGTCTACAAGGAATTTTGAATTATTAGTGCTTAGCCAAAGGAAATGGCTGTCATCTCTAATATTTAGGGGTTTTTTGTTTGTTTTTGTTTTTTTTGTCGTTGGGAGGTTTTACCAATGCTTGACTCTCCCTTATAAATTTTTGATTTGTGAAATTGAATATGTTTAAATCATACTACTACTTTTAGTAAAAGTAATTATGATTTTATAGTAATGTTGAAAACTGTTTTATGTAACTCACTTATTAACATATTCAGGGCTAAGACTCCACCATTTAGAGGTGCAATAGTGATTTATGTTTGCTTGAAATGCCGGCTCACTAGGGAGAATGTATAATGTATCTATTGAGAATTCCAAAGAAAAATTAATATGTTTATTTCCACTAGGTCTAATTTTGTCCTAGGGATTTAAATGTTTTAAGCAGAAAACCATTTGGAACTATATCGATAGTTACTTAGGTAATAATACTAGTTACTTTTGAAAAGAATAGAAAAGCTCAAGATGTTATCTCTTGGCAAATAAAATTTCATTGTTTCATTTTACTGATATAAATGTAAAATAAACTGTGTGCTACAAAGTTATCAGATCACTGTGACTAGACAGAAAGAAACCAACATAAAAAAATTGTTTTACATGGTATCAAAAATATTGAATTAACACCAAAGAGCATATTAAAACTTTATATATACATATTTAAATTTTTATATACATTTATGTTTATTTTTATACATAAGTATATATATATAAAATGTTATATATCAGCTAACTTTAATCTTTTTTAAATAATTGAGATATAATTGACAATATACAATTGGATATATTTAAAGTATGCAACATGATTAATTGATATAAATATACATTTTGTGCTGATTATCATAATCAAGTTAATTAACACACTGTCACCTCATAGTTATCTTGTTTCTTATTTCTTTTTTGGGGTGAGACTGTTTAACATCTACTAATTTAGCAAAGTTCAAGTATACATACAGAATTATTAAATATAGTCACTATAGTCATGTGTGAATTAGATCCTCAAAATTTATTTATCCTATAAAAGTTGTAGCCTTTGACTAACATTTTCACATTTCCCCCAACTCCAACCTTGGGCAACTATCATTCTACTCTCAGTTTCTATGAGTTTTTTTTTTTTTTTTTTTTTTTAAAGATTCCACATAATAAGTCCCTCAGCCTGGCCTGTGGGGATCGGGCTGAAACCAGCTCTCTGATATCCCCCGAGGGGTCTTGAATTGGGAAAGGGAATAGGCCAGACTGAGAGACCCCACAGGTGCATGATAGGGGCTGGGGTGGGACTGTGGGAGGCCCCCGAGGACCACCATTCCGTCTCCTGCCATCTCGCTCAGTCCCAATCAGGGCCAGTCAGGGCCGATCAGGGCTGTCTTGCCCAGTCCCCATCAGCCGGACCCCAGCAGCAAGCTAACTTAACGGCCGGAGTGTCTGCTCCCTGGTGGTCAGAGTGTGTCATAGCGACTGGTCAAATGGTCATACACTTAGCATATTAGGCTTTTATTACTATATAGGATGCTGCAATAAACATAGAGGTGCATATATTTTTTCGAATTAGTGTTTTGGGTTTTTTGGAATTATACCCAGAAGTAGAATTGCTGGGTCATAAGTATACCACATTTTCTTTATCCATTCAGCTGTTGATGGACACTCAGGTTATTTTCATATCTTGGCTGTAGTGAATAACGCTGCAATGAACTCAGATGTGCAAACATCTCTTCCAGGTAGTAATTTATTGATTTCACTTCCCCCAGATATGTTATCTATAAGTGGGATTGCTAAGTCACATGGCAGTTCTACTTTTAAATTTTTGAGGAAACTCAAAACTGCCAGCAGTTTCATCAGCTGAAGTTAGTGTTGAGAAGTTTCAGGGGTTCTCCGTGGCCCAGGCTGCGTTGTCTGCAGCAGCAGTCAGAGTTGGTTGGGCCGCCTGGTCTCTTTTCCTCCCCATGGGATATGTGATATGCAGTTGGGGAGGAGATTCCTCTTGGCGCCAGGCCCAGCTTGCAGACACACATGGAGCAGTGGTGGAGCCTGGGTCTAGAGTGCCAGTGGTTGCAGTGTGACAGCAGCTCCAGGGGCAGGTGTAGATGTTAACGTGCATTGATGATGGTGTGTGAAATGCGGCATGTATAAAGTGTCTATGGAGACAGAGTCTGACGCATGGACTGTATGTATACACTTAAAATGTTACGCTTGATACAAAACTTTTAGATTATCCTTTGTATTGAGAAACTAAATAGCTATTTAGGAATAAAAATTTGTTATTTGGCAGATTATTTTAATTTATATTTCCACATGAATTCAGGAAATATCCTCCACAAATTTAAAGTTAAGCCAATTTTAAAATTTATTTTTGTGCAAAAATATTAAAGAAATCCATTTATAGTCTGAAAATAAGTAGGAATTTAGTAACATAAAGTGTACTTGCACCAATGTTGAGCAATTAACATGAAAACACTAATGCATACATTTCCTGGCTTTGTCTACCTAGCATTGAAATGTCTTTTATTTTTATGATACTAATATATAATAGTAT